CCTGTTACAGGCCTGTTTGTTCGGCCTGGACCTGACCTGTTAAAAAGGCAGGCCTGGCCTGAAGCCTGTTTAGCAGGCCTGTTAAGAAAAAAATCAAAAGTTCAAAAAAATATAAAATAAAAAGTGAAAAATCCTTTTAGCCCGATATAAAATTTGTCCCCCCCAAATATTCACTAAAAGGTCTAATAATACGTTAGGTTTGCTTTGAATGTATAATAATACGTTAATTATGTAGCTTATGAATTTTTATATACTTCAAATCTTGAAAAACTTTGAATTTTAAGTACCCTAATACCCTATTAACACACTTTACATAATTGAAATAGTATTCTAATATTAAGTGTGTAATTAAGTGTGTATTTATATAATACACACTTCATAAAATACTATTATGTTTAATTTGCTATAGTTAATTATACTAATATAATATAAGTAATAAAAAATAAATATAAATATAACTAAATATATATACAAACATATATACACACACACATATAAATAGGCCGACCTGTTAAGCTAAATAGGCTTTAGAGTTGGGCTAAGCCTGGCCTATTTAGGTAAACGGGCTTTTCGAAAAGCCCAAGTCTACTTTAATTATTAAACAGGCCAGGCCTTAAGCAGGCCAAGCCACAGGCCCTTGACAGGCCGTCTGGCCTATTCACACCCCTATTTAAGGGTATGCGAGGCGTTTAAGTTGTCCAAAAATGCTAGGCGTACGTAAATTGTATACAACTTTTACACAAAATGTCGGTCACAGACAATTAGCACGGAGTTGTCTGCGAGCACGGGCAAAAGTTGTCTGTGTATACAGACATTTTTTGTTTGTGTCCACAGACATTAATTTTTGTGTAAAAAGTACATTGACAGTCGTCTGACACTGACACCAGCTTGCAAATCAATCCATATTTGTGCAGTGCCTGTGTGCACAAACAATATTTTCCTGTTGCACAGACAATTATTTATCTGTGTGCACAAACAATATTTGCCACACACACAATAGTAGTGCGGCTCACAGACAATAGTTGTTTGTGTGATCAACTTTAGTTGTCCGTGTAATCAAATTTGTTTGTCTGGGTGAACAAAAAAATTAATTGTCTATATACATTCAAATGAATGATGTTGTTGTATGTGTGATCAATTTACATGTAATTTAAACAAAAAATAGAAAGATAATAAAAAATAGATGAAATAAGATAAATAAATTGATTTTGTGCAAATAATGGGAAAAAAATTGATATAAAAAGGTAGAGAAAAGGAGGATGAAAACGGGAAGAGGAAGATGAAGAAGATAAGATGATCATCCCATATTTTTTTTAGAATTTTCGAATGGATTTTTGAGAAGGGAGAGGGGGGGATGGGATTTTTTTGAGCTTTTATATGGTGTACGCTTTGTGTACCTTAAGCAGTTTTGTTAAGTTGGTGCTCCATGTCTGCGCCTTTTACTACCTTTTAAGTTGCGCACCACACCACATTAGTGCATCTATTGTATATGCTTTGTTACACATACAACTATACAAGTATGTAAATAAGATGGTACGCAAATAGAGTACATGGTTAAATTTATAAGTAACAAAGATATCTTTGTCTGACACCCATACTACAAGAGTATATGTGTACCTTATCCCTATACTATTATTATTGTTATAGCTAATTCTTAATTACTAATGTAACTCTTATTGTTTAATGGATGTGACTCATTAAATCTGTGATTGGAGGGAAAAGCAAGGTGTTACACCCTATTATTATTGATTATTATTATTATTATTATTATTATTATTATTATTACTAATAATACTACTACTATTACTATTATCTATACCTATAAGATGTCATTGTTATTTCTTTATGTTCTGCAAGACAATAATAACGATGTTTTTTATAAGACAAAATGTTATGGTTGGATTTGTTTAAGTTTGGTGTGATGGTCAAATCTGATCTGGTCTAGTAAATGTCGGGTGTATGTATATTTTACTTATATGTTCTGATGCATATTCTATTTAAATTTGATCTGATTCGGTCCAGTAAATGTCGGGTGTATGTATATTTTACTTATCTATTCTGATGCATATTCTATTTAAATTTGATCTGATTCAGTCTAGTGTTTTTTTTAATCTGGGCTAGTCTAGTGTATAATAAAATAAGATAAATGACTCTCAACATTTACCCCACAAACTTGTGGTTTGCCTTTTGGGAAGAAGAAAAACTTAGCTTTTGTACATTTATGGTGTAATCTTTATCTTCAAAATAAGATCAGAATTACAAGATATTAAGAGATTTTGACATGTAAACAAGAAACGTGATGGAAAAGCAAGAGGAAGGAGCTTGGGGAGCATAAGGAAGGAGCTTGAAGACAAGAGAAAGCTTTCCAATACTTGATTGAGTATGATTTTCCAAAGATCGTACGAGATCAAATAAAGCAAGATAACGTGGAAGAATCTGATTTTATCTAACACCTGATCAGGTATATGGACGTACCCGGTCGGGTATGACTAGATTTCAACACTTTCGTAGCTACTGCCAAAAATACCCGATGACCCGGTCAGGCATCTGACTCTGCAATCTCAAAACCCTTATAAAGCACCCCTTTCCTTCCCATTTTTATACCAATCAATTCCATCTTTCATATAGATTTTATTCTTGTAAGTTAGGTAGTCTTTTGAGGTTGGCTTTTCTATGTTGAAGGTAGTGATTTGCAAGTTGCGAGCTATTTCTTTAATCAGCCTCTCTTGAATAATCTTATCTTTCACTGGTCTTCTCATAATAATCCCACCTTTATGCAATCCCAGAATAATCTCACCTTTGCACCTCATCTTCTTTAATTGGACCCTTTCTTTAAAAATCTTATATAAATAATCCCACCTTTGTAGGTCATCAATAGGTCAGGGTCCAATGAAAGAAGATGGAGTGCAGAGGTGGGATTATTCTTGGATTACGTAAAGGTGAGATTATTATGAAAAGACCAGTGAAAGGTGGGATTATTCTTGTCAATTTTTCCTATTAATTACTTCCCTATTTATATTCTGTATTGATATTTGAGCATCACTAAGTGATCAATTAATTAGTTGATGTTTTCTATTACTAGAATCGTTCAATGAATACATTTGTTATTAGTAGTAGCCTTAGATTATTAATGCATGCGTCTCATGGTCAATAATCAAAGAGGGAGTAATTTTATTGATTAACCTGAAAAACCGCTTGTGTTGAGGTTATCAATCCTAATTGATTTCATCAGACGATAAATGGATGAATTGGATAGAATAGTTGGACCTGAGATCCTCATTTTGACAGTCGAGAATATTCACCTCGAGTTACGAGTTATCATTCTTAAGTGATTTCATTAAATCGAGCGGATGCTATTATTTAGATCAATATATGACGCTTGTTCTATATTAACTAATAGTAAAGTTATTAATGAACACATCTCGTTATTAATAACTACTATGGATGAATTGGACAATTTAATCTCCACGATTAAGTAGTATTCAAGAGGAAAGAGTTAAAGTAGTAACTTTGGTCAACAACCACTTCACTAAGTGGAGAAATAGCAAAACTAGAGTTGATTACCTTTGATATTTTAATTCGTTCACCATTGTGTTTTATTTTTTTTTTCTCAATTATCAAAATATCCAACCCCCCCTCCCCTCTTCTGTTTAGTTTACTTTGATTTCTTAAGTTGACTCACACATGAAGAGCACATTTCTCTGTGAATATGAACAATATACTAATGTAATCGCCCTTAGTAGTGAATTTATTTTGAAGCACAAGCGACTTGAGTGCCGTAGATACGCATATGCGTTCATGAGTACGTGTATAGGAAGTATTTATATTTTTAAAAATGACCAATATGTACGGATGTATGTATGTTTGATTTTTATTAATTGGAAATTTGTATATTAGTCGAGTCTTTAATAGGTCGGAATATTCTGTACTATGCTCGACCCATTTATCGAAATAAACAACGGGTTCAAGTTCGTGTCTGAGGAAATTGAATTAAATGTGGACCCACGCCAGGGACAGGGGCAGGGCCTTAGCCTAGGTCGGTACAAAGAATATTTAAAAAAAAATACACGGGATTTGTACATTAAAAATTTGGAGTGGGTTTGGGCTTAGATTGACCCCATCACCCCATAATGATGAATCTAGATCGAGTCCGGGTTTGGATCCGACCCATTAACCGGCCTATCTCTGTATCAACGTTTTGAGTTTATGATCTGATGTAATGATGGTGCTTCGTAATGATTCTTGATAATTAAAATTTATTTATTGAAAAATCATGTTGCTTGCTAAAAAACATGTTAACAATTTTGTTTAGCTTTGAAAAATTGAATACAAATGTCATTCAAAACTAATATTCTCACCGGTGGTGCACCACAGATGACAATAATTTCATAGATTATTATACTTGAAAAATTAAGTGCTAAAACAATGTAGGATATACCGATATACCATGTAAAGGTTCTCATTTCCATTTTAGGAAATAATTAACAAGGTTAAGTGACAAATTAATCATTAAATATTAAAAAATAATACATTTATAATATCAGAGTATATAGTACTAACTACATTATAATATATATATACCTATTAAAATTATTTCTCAAAATATACTCAAAGTACTTTATTTAATTATTGTCTAAATAACTGTGTCGTTTTGCTATGAGAACCTTTCAACGGGACGGAGGTAGTACTAGATAAAAAGTAAGCTGAGAACTCAGAAGTCAAGTGAGCAATTAATAATAAAGTAAAAGTAGATTACTACACAACTTTAAAACTTAACTCTTCCAAGTTAAGTTTTCCATCATGCATCATCGGCCAGTGACCAATGATGGAAAACTAACATCCAGGCATATTCTACGTTTTAATCTGGGAAAACTAACTAAGCAATGTTACAATTGTTTTACAAGAATAAAAGTTTATATCCAAGTACAAAAACGCTCACTAAAAGAAGTTAGACTATAATAAAAACAGCTCACAAGTGTATTCGATGGCAATTGTTCACACTTTTTAACTGCACTCTATGTATAAATGTGTGTGTGTGTGTGAGGGTTAAAAAAATGTGAGGGTTTTATTGAGTACCTGCTTTGGATGAGAACTCCTTGTGATGAGAAGTTACAATATCACCTTTTCATTTTTTCAATCAACGGTTAAGAACATACATGTTTTTCTGTAATTATTATTTTGAATTCAAAAAGGTATGTTTTTGTAATTGCTTTACGTTGTTAAAGGTTTCTCATTTTAAAAGGGTTCACTTGATCCCTCAGTATACACACACAGTCGGTAAGGTCTCACATAAACTAGGGCCAGTTGCCATATGCCGAAATAATTGATTACTTCCAACTTCAAGAAGATGTAGAATAAAGATGTACAGAAGCATACATAAGTAAATAACTACATTCTCAATCTTCCTTCTTTGTTTTTCCTCTCTTCTTGGCCCGAAATCCCTTAAATTTCTTGGACCTTTCATCCAGTGTCTCACTGAAGAGATCCTTGTACTTCTCCATCACACATTCTTTATCTTTGGACAAGCCCAACATTTCATATGCATCAGCAACTTTCTGCACTATAGACTTCTCCGGCGGTTTACGCCCAAATGCCTCCAAGCCCTTGAACAGCTTTACAAGATCCTCCAGCATATCATTTCGATAATATACTGACATCATGAGACTGCACAATGACCATGGCACCGAATGTAGGTCCGACCCAATGTTTTTCCTCCAAATCTCACGTGCTTCCTTCGCCCTATGATCCATATCTAATGCTAGAATTAACTGTGCATAAGTACCTCTAGTGCTGCCCTGCCCCTTGCTTAAAATCCACTTTATAACTTGGATAACTCTATGCCACTGTTGCTCTTTCTCGAGTTTCAGTAACACCTGCTTTAGGGATCCAATTGGGAAGTTCTGCTCCCATGCAACCCAGGCATCCAGGGCACTGTAGATACCCTCTTTACTATCTTTTAGGTCTAGAAGCGTCTCTACCAGAATGCTGATCTTATCCTTTCTTGAAATATGTTCTCCTATTTGCCGTTTGTATTCACCTTCACCATCTTTTCCTGAAAACTTGGGCGATCCAAGATCTGCAGATACAATCTTCTTCACACGGCCTTGGCTGGAGACTAGAAAAGATCGAACAGCTGTACTGTAAGAGCATGTCGATGTACTCTTTCTAATTAATGTGTATTGGCTGATATGTTTTAACAGCTTTATCATTGAAGCCAGATGTTGCATTTGGTCTGACAGGAACCCTGGGAGGGAACAAGCTGATCAGTGCACAATTGATTAAAAAACTGATACTATTTTTTAATATCATAGAAATGAGACCCTAGCAACTGAACGGTACTATTCAACATCTACGAGTGAAATTTTTTACTAAAATCCATTAGTCCAAACCCCAGGCAAATACTACCTAGTACCTACTGCTTAATATATATTGAATATCAAAGGATGAAGTATCACGAAGTTTAATTTCAATTAACAAAAGAAATTATACGTAGTATGATACAATTCATTCAAGCTTTTTGAAAAACACCTGGCAAGCAATTCACAACTTACCTGCCCAATGATTCCATCTTCAAACTTGTTCAGACCCATTGTTCAATCAACATGAAGATCTTGTTTTAAATGAACTACAGCTACACGTACATATACTTATTTGCTTCACATATAAAAAAATATTGTCTTCATCCTTTCCATGAAGAAATGAGGAAGTAACATAATAGTTCAGCAGCGGGAAGTGACGGGAGAGTGGGGTGGTCATGACAACCAAAACATGACATACATTAAAGATGTGTCCTTCTACTCTTCTTCTCTGTCCTCTTCCTTCTTGTACTAAGTTGGTGGTCATGTTTTCCTATAACTGGTTAAAGTTTTACTAGAGACTGAAAGATGGACACCTTAAATTAAGATCCCTAACCAATGATGAGGAAAATATTTTGGTTGATGATTTACCATCTGATGATGAATGACTTCTGTTCATACCTTGTTTGTGTTTGATACTTTTTGGACTTAAAACTATCCATTTCTTTAGTTGTGTATTACTAGTTTAACTATTATAATTTTTTTGTGTGGGTATATTTTGAGGTTACGCCTCAATACACCTCGCCTCTCCAGAACAAACTGCCTCGATACTCGAACTAGCCTTTTTAAACCTTGGATATAATCATCATGTCACCATACTTGTCATCATCATAACAATGGAACGTCATCCTCATTCATTTAACTTTTAAAGGGATCTTCAATCTCATTTACCTCATCAATCAGGTCAGCTGGTCTTTATTTAGTTCTTATTGGGGTTTTTATTACTAATATGGACTGATGGCTAAATTGGGTAATTAGTAGTCAGAGCCATGCAAACGGGCTTACTGGTAAACTAATGATCGAGGCCAATTCCCAAAAGTAACTAAATAAACAAGTTAACATTTGTTAAAAAAATGGCAAACACAGCGTGGCGATGACACCAATATGGTGCCACCACGTGTTCACTCGTCACCATGAAGGTTTTTCTCTTTTTTTGTATAATAAGCTTAGTTTTAGCTTTTGACCAGTTTTAAACACATTAGTGTAAGTATACAGTTGCCTACTTGAACTGTGTAAAGTGTATGACACTTGACTGGGCCATCCAAAATGGCCATAGAACCTGACGCAAAATTAAAATATACGACAAAATACAAATTTAAGCGAAATTATATGAATGAAGAAACATATTTTTCCTGGCATCGAGCTTTGATAAAGAGGGGGGGGTATAAGGTCTCGGGTAAGAGGTTACAAATAAAGCAGACTGATACAAATTTAGACATTTCAAAGATTTAGGGGATTTTTTAAGGAGTGGCAAGGGTCTTTTTCTAAACTTAAGAGCATGATGTAACTAATATGTTTGTCTAAACTATTTGTAGAAGAAGTGATAAGCTATGGGGGTTTACCTAATAAGGATAATTTAAAACTATGTTACTTGTACAGTCAATGTGTTTGTACTTTGTAACTAATCTTTCTATTTACAATATAATAAGAATTCAATAAAACAAAGTATGCACCTTGTTTTTTAAAGTTGAAAACTGTATTAATTTTAAAAAGGGAGAACCGCCTTCACTTTGAACTTGCAATTATTACTTTTGGAATTGGGTTGACGTAATATTATTACTTTCTTCTTAACATAATGATTTTATATCTTATAAAAGGGAAAAGGCAGAGGAAATAAAACTGCTGGTGATTTTTTAAAGCATGAATAAAGTGATAAGCACTTGGAAAACTTACAAGAGAACAAACAACAAAAACAACATTACTATGTTGAGTAAGGGGGGTCGGATGTACACAGAGAGATTGTTTCTGAATGACCCAGGATGAAAATCATGTCAAAAATTATATGGACTGACTGTTGCTTCATAACAAAGAAACATAGACTGTTTAGTGAGTCATTTTGCTTTATTCCATCATATTCCCAAGCCAAAATATAGTTAGTCTTTGACTCCATTGGAAATGATGGAAGGAAAAATTACAATAGAATCTCTATGTTATTCGATACTGATAAAGGATTGATAGCTATACAGATGTTGGTGATATTGTATACCTGTGTAAGAGAAACAAAGGCTCTCTGTTTTGTATGATGCTATCTATTGTACAATTCTATGTGATATAAAGAAAATATGTAAAATGTCTCATGCTATGATCGGTTGCACCCTACTTCTTCCCGTTGAAATATCAAATACATTGGCAACAAATAATGAGTATACTTTCATGAACCATGTAAGAGGCTTTTTATCGAACACTGAGTAGGCATTAACTAAGTATCGTTCCTAAAATCACAAGAAACGATCCCCCAATAATTGCCCTTTTAGAAGCCAATTTCAGTTACAGTGAAACACTAGTACCAGGATTTAGGTTTATTAGATGAATAAAATTAGATGAACAAAGTTTGTTTTCGACTAACATTTACGATGGCATCAGCGATTTGCCAAGGTGTAAGCACTGAAGTACAAAAAGCGGGCAAAATTTTGAAAGATGAAATGAAACGAAAACCTTTTTTGTGGACAGAGACTGCAACAGTTCAGTGGGTAAGACAACTCCGCCGACATAGCCCTGCCCAGAAAATAAATCAACTTGATCGGCAGTTTGATAACTGCAAGTACACCATATTTATTTGAACAGGCACGTGCCATTTTAAGGTTATTAAACGGCACCGTTAATTTTGAGACCGTTATATCACATGCAAAGTTATGGTCGAACGGAAAACAAACTACAGTGAGTCCGTGACTATAATTTGGAGTTTTTTCTCGTTTTATCCTGGTCACGTGCCATGATATATCAGAGCTGAAATTTATTTCTCTTTCCACGTCATTTACACGCCACATCACAAGCTCATGTCATCACATATAGCTTGTGGGAATCGAACTCGCGAGCTAACCATTAAACTTTCGAGCCCCACAATACAATGCTTTGTTGGGATAATCAAATGTTTTTATGTATTCATATCATTCCAGCTAATTAAAACTAAAAGCTCTCTAACATTGTTGTTGTCGTTATTGTTGTTATAATTATCGGATAAAATTTACTAATTTTGTATAAGAAATCTTGAATTTTGAAAAGTGAAGATATATTTTGCTTTTAAGTTTGCGAACCGATACAAGTCTTGTTATTTTCACAAACTTTATAATTGTGTGCATATCATACTTGGTGGGTCTACCGACCCGGTTACGAGATCCGTTGGATATGGGTCCGGGTTCAAAATTTTAGACCCGTCGAGTAAACGGGTCGGATCCGGGTCTATTATTAACTTAGCAGGTTCGGATCTTGAACACTATGTTCCCACCCAGACCCGGTCCATTGATAGGCCTGCACGTCTATTTTCGTTTCATTTTAGAAAATAATTAGCACTCATAAATGGTGATTTTATAGCCTATATAAGTTATTAAAATCAATGCATTCATTTATCGTCAGTTGCCCTATTATATTATATGTAGTATATTCTCACCCAAACTACCTCTCAAACTATACTGAAATTGCTTTATCTAAATATTGCTTTAAAAGTGTCCAACTAGAACGGAAGTAGTGCATTTTTAGTGGCTATGCTACTAATATATGACCATAATTTCATTGTTTGTACTAATGTTTGTTTAAATTGTTGAAGAGCTGAAGATGTTCATTAATTACTAGATATTGGTGTGCCAAGATTAATTTCTTAGGAGGCCTAATATATGAGTCCACATATGAGTTCCTGCCTCATAATAGCACATATAAACCTTAATTAAGTCACAGTATTAAAAATTAGAACATTTACTTCAACAGACATTACTCAAGCCCACCGTAACATTAAAACTGCTTACTACCTCTGTCCCGTTCAAAGATCATTGCAAAATTACACGATTATTTAGAGAATAATTAAATATACTAATTCGAGTATATTTTGAGAAATTGTTTTGATGGATATATAATATCATGAAAATTATGATGATAACTTTGATGTTATTATAAATATATTATTTCTAATATTTGATGATTAATACATCATTTAAGAGTGTTAATTGTTTCCTAAAATAGAAAATGAGAACTTTTAATTGGAACATTCAAAAGTTCAAAACAGGAAAGTGAGAACCTCGAGTGAAACAGAGGAATATTATGATGATAACTGTGATGTTATTATAGTGAATTATGATGATAATTCATAATGGCATGTGATCTGAGCTCTTCGTCGCCGCATAATCTGAATCCTTCGCAATATGCTTTCAATTGGTATAATGGCATGTAATCTGAGCTCTGTTTTTCAAAATAGGCGGCCATTGAATAATTTTTTTTACCACCACTGAACTTATCAACTTGTGATTCTTTGGGGTTATCCTGGAACCTGTTTGGATGGAGTGTTGGAAGGTGTTAGTAATGGAAGTGTTAGTAAGTGTTGTCAGGGGTTCGGAAGGGAAGGTAAGTGTTAAACATAATCTTACCTTGTTTGGGAGATTTACAAAAATGAAGTATTAATAATGGAAATGTTTTCACTTGAATTGACAAAAATATCCTCGTACCTTAAAAAAATAAAGTGCTAAAAAGTAAAAACCACACTACGTATATATACGAAGTATGAAGAATATAACTAAAAACTATACAGTGACTAAAGTCTAATGCTTAGGTTGTTAAAAGCAAAATAAAAATAAAAAATAGGTATATATAATACGTAGTAATATAAAGAATGCGATGACCAGTAACCAGGACACCAGATATACATATTCGTATATATGTACGAACCGTAGAGGATACCTGTAGCAACCAGCAACCAGACATATATACCGGAAGTATATAATGCGTATACCTATAGTCTATAGCGTAGATTTTGATTTTTGATGTACCAATGGGTGAAGAAAACTTGGGGGAAGTAGTCAAGTAGAGTCCGCTGGGTTCTCCTAGCGGACATACCTGGAGAACGTCGTCCGCTAGGAGCCTGGTAGAAGAACAGTCCGCTGAATTGGGAGGAAGGACAAAGATTGTCCAACACTTCATTACACCCCAAATTGGAGTGTTAAAAAAGTGATAAATGTAGATGTTAGGAAGGTTATGATTAACACCCTCAAACACTAACACCTCTCATTTTTTTTATTTTTTCTCCCAAACAAGTGCTAAGCTAAAAACTCTTTAACACTTCCATTACTAACACCCGCTAACACTCAATCTAAACAGGCCGTTAGAGTGTTAGACATTCATATCAAGGTAATGAATACTTTTCCTCTTCAACAGTTTGCGTGGAAGAGAAAAACTTATATGGTCTTGCTCCACATTAAATGTAACATGTGATGTGTGGCATCAAAGTGTGTATCGAAGTCCTAACACAATTTTTTTGCAATTATTACAATTTCATGCTGAATAGCATAATCACAAATACTGAGGCCCTCCCACAGTCCCACATATATTCTGTCAGTCAAGCTTACGTTTATATTTTGTGGTGACAACGTAAAAAAGAAAATAGTACCAAAGAAAGTATGTACTCATGTAACCGCTAAACTACTATAGTACTATGCCTCTGCATTATAAGCAGTTAAGCACACAAGCAATTGGAAGAAAACAACCAAGCTAGGAAAGCGGGAAATCCAGTACTTTATCAATACAAATATAAGTGCTGCAACCGATAGGATTCATAAATAGCGCAGCCTCAGTTGACTCTTGCAACCACATTTTCTAAGTAGTAAAACCTGCTTCAGCCTCTTGTTCATGCTGTTCGCAAGGCTTTGATCCAGTCAATTTCCACATGAAAATCTCCAGGGCCAGACCTCGCACCTGGGACTCCACCTTCTGCATTGACAGATAGAGCCATAGCCAGAACTCGAGATGGATTCATCTCCAACTTTGCATTTATTATGTTTCCTCTCCATGTCGGCACGTACATGGAAAGTGGTATCTGTAGTGAAAATACAAGAGCTTAAATTTGAAAGACGTAACTTACTTCCATTTGGAAGAAAAAATTATTATAATCATACTCCCTCCAGTTTTTAATAAACTTCACACTTTCCTTTTTGGGACGGTCTAAAATAAACTTCACACTTCCTTATTTCCTTTTTTGGCAAAGAAATCTACATCAAAACAGTGCCAAACAGTGTCTCAACAGTGCCAAACAGTGTCAAACAGTGCCTCAACGGTGTACTCTACATTAAAGTCAAATTTCTTTCCTTATTTTGTGTGAAGTCAAAGTGTGAAGAATAAATAAAACCGGAGGGAGTAGTATTTGTACGGTCCATGCCAATTCTTTATTATTATTATTATTACTACTACTACTACTATTATTTTGCATAGGCAAATAACCGGATGGATCAAGTCAGGCCGGGATACTACCACCTTTGCACAATCCAATATTTTTCATTCCCATTCTCCCTTTCATTTCTTTAAAATAAAATAAAGATATTATGGGGTATTCATAAAAGGAGCCATGACTTACATAAACAGATCCCTTAGCCCTTGAGACATGTTCCCATGGATGATTCTAGAGGGCTTTAGAGCATTCATGTAAGCCCTCCAGAATCTTTGGAGCATATATCAAGATATAGACTCAGCCCTCCAAATCCCTCCATCCCAAACTGACCATTACAAGGTCTAATGAAGGAATCTTTTTCATGGAATAGGGAGCTCAAGAAAGCTATTGAAAAAGTACAAGCAGCTAAATTATGCCACTGGCCTGCCAAAGTTCCCACAACAAAATTAGCCTCACGGAGAAAATGAGAGATAGAAGCTTGTGGGACATGCCTTAGCTATGTACCAGTCATCTTTAGGTACAAAAACAAATGCCTGCCATGAGTTATCTTCCTCTTGCCCAGGAGAATTCACCCAATTCTGGGTGTAGATCTGCAGTTATATGTAGGAAAAGATTATATTTTTGTGAAAGTTTATTGATTAATAAATTCTGATGAAAGGTTAACTCAAATACTTGAAGAATAGAGTTTTATTGATCAATTGCAAATACAACAGCTAAAATACAATTTATAGGCCTAAGCTAACTTAAAAAAGGAAAGAGTAATTATGTACAGGATCTTATAATTAATACAAATCTCCTATTTGATTCTAGGAAATCAGATTATGATCAGGAGGAAATCAGATTATGATCAGGACAGATCTCATAATAATAAACTAAATATTATAGTATCTCTACACAAATAATGAGTGCTCCATATAACTGAAGGTTCATCATTTAAATATTAAAGTACTCTAGCAGAAATATGCACACAATAGGGGGCTCACAGTAGAGATGTAGTTCCTCCCATCTCCTTTCAGTTTGACTGCTATTGTGTCATATGCATCCAAGTCAATGAAGCCATCAAACTGTGAAACAAAAATTAAGTATGACAATGACAAGAAAAACAAGACTAATAACTCATTCAGTAGACCAGTAAAAAACATTATGATTGCACACCCTGGAATACTTCTAATGAAAAGACAGATTTTATAGTCCAACTAAGAGCATCTCCAATGCCACAATGTGCATGGTGCACATGTGGCATGAGAGAGATAGACTCACAAATATTGATAAGCAAAATATTTCTCTCCCTATTTGAATGATCTTATATGTTTTTGGTAAGTTTTCTCCACAATGTCAAGGAGAATATTTAGATGTAGACATTGTGGTTGACAATATTACTAAAACTATACAAACAGTGGCGGACCCAGAGATTTGTCAGAGCAGGGGTACACTAGACACTAAACTTACTCTATAATAAAAATTTCAAATGTAATAAAGATGGTAAAAAGTAAGACAATAGCATAAATTATAGAGATATTACCCGAAATAGGACTAAAAAGGTTTAAAAATTCCAAAATAGGACTGTCATGTTTTTATTCTCAAAATAAGACTAATTACTGCCATGTTTTGGCAGTACCAGATTTCAAACATGGCAGTATTTTCCAAACATGGCAGTAATTACTCCTATTTTGGGAATAAAAAACTTGGCAGTCCTATTTTGGAATTTTCAAACTGTTTTAGTCCTATTTCGGTAACTTTCCCTAAATTATAGGGAGTAGTTAACTACATATGGAGTATTAAATAGTTCATTTCTGCAACTTTGGTAAATCAAACCTACGAGTTTTCATATTCTGAAAATGTTTTATATTAGTTTCATTATCAATACTCCTAAAAACATCTCTCTCGATGTAGCACACCAAGCAATCTGTAAGATAATCATCTTTCATCTTATTACGAAGATTTGTCCTGATAATATTCATCGCAGAGAAGGCTCTTTCAACGGTGGTTGTTACAACTGGTAATACTAAAGTCAACTCAATCAGCCGATATACCAAATGAAAAGAATTGTGAACTTTAAGCTCAACCATCTTTTTGCAAACTTCACCAATAGTCTGTACGGCAGAAAATAATTCATTTGTTCTCATTTCATATATCCACACACCTGGAGTTGCTCTTTCAACTCCATTCGATCAACAGATGAAAAATCGCATGAATATAATTCCGTGAGGTTCAGTAGCTTTGACTCACAGAAATTGGAGAACTTATCTCTAGGATCAAGACATGCTAAACAAGTGAGTAATTATGTGTTTTACATGGTCTCTAAATGTTTCGAAGACTTTTTTTCCAATTACGAAACCTGGTCCTCACAAATACATCATCTCCAAATCTCTTCCCTTCTACACCCATGGAAAAGGTAACACGAAAAGCAAAATGTAGCATCTTAAGAAATACTATATTCCAACAAGAGGTCCAACATAAGATCTCATCACGTCATCTCTTACTCGAGGCTCATATTCAATGATTGGCTTTCGTAATGCGGGATCGCTAATGATATCCCACTCACACGTACTATCTGTGCGGGCTCTTACCCGAGGAGCCCAAGGCGTAGAGTTTTTCCTAAGTACTGTTTTGTAATAGATTGTAGTCCTCGGCCTCGGCCCCATTGTAAATCAAACTTCTTATTTCCGCCCTTTTGAATACTCGAATGATGATGCGCCTTCGGGCTTCTTAATATACGTTCCTTTGTCGTTGATGGATGTATGTTTTTGCTTCTTTTTTGTTTGTATATGAATGTATGTCTCCCCTGGTGTCATTAGACTCATCTCGGACAATGCTTACATTCGGAGCAACAACATTTGCATCGCTTGAGATAGACTGATTACAACGTTCGAAGAACTACCCCCTCGGGCTAATGACCTATTAGTCCGAATTACAAAGTTATCCAAACTCATATTTCTAATAAAAAAAGACAAATACAATCAAGTCTAAAAATTAAACTAAAAACCTTACAAATTAGAACCCTAATCCTTAAGTAGAGCGCATTCACAATCTCCAAAGTATCAAATTTCAAGTAAACAAACAATCCTCAAATCAGCGAATAACAATTTAGCATATGACCGTAACATTTTAGTATCTTGATTATCTAATACTAGTAACTTTTTGTACGGGTTGGGGCACTAATTTTAACCGAAGTAGTAGTAGTGAAATTTTTGACCGGAAGCAGGGGCACCTATTTTACTCTAAGTACTAGTAGTGAAATTCCTGGCCAAGAAGCCGGGGCACTTGCCCCGGTAGGCCCCGGCCTAGGTCCTCCACTGTATACAAAACTGTGGAAAGAATGAGATAGAAATGTCAATGATTTATTTTTATGTGTCTGTCTCTCTAGGTAAATGTAATAAATGTACCTTTTTAGACCTCATTCCGCAAAAGCCACTTCTAGTCATGTTCCCGGTTGAACCCTCTACAACATCCAGAGAGAGGTTTCCAGAAAATATTCCTGTCCCAATAGCCAAAATAACAAGTTTAAAAGAAGAAAGAAGAGTTAAGTGTTACTTTCTTTTTTATTGCTGCTAATATATCAGGATGTGCTCAATTTCACCTTAAGGTTTAGTGTACGGCTCGTCAAAAATAATGATTACAAGTTATATTGCAATAAGTTGAGATCAGTGGAGGAACTGAAGAGGGCAGGTAGGACAGGAAGTGGGGGCTAGCATTTCTAGGGATCCATCTAATTGCAGAAATTTTGTAGCTCCTTTACTTGCCTCAAGTAACAAATTAACAATAACAAACTGATATGGTTTAACCAATTAGTAATGAATCAGGGGTAAAATATACAACATAACTAATCAGAACTTTAACTCCAAATCAACGGGGTGGATACATTACCACTCAATAATCTCATGGGTTCATTTCCAAGAACTCACTCACTCCCAATGATAGGTTCTAGGTTTGACATGGCACAGAGTTGAAGAAAAAATGAAACCGAGGTTGACATTTATTTAGAAAGGAATAAAGGATTATAAACCACCTGAGTAGTTAAATCGCTACTAGGTGGCAACTTGGCCAAGGGCTGAGTAACGAGTAGGAACGACTGCTCGGTGATTACTTAGCATTGCATTAATTGAAATTAAAAACACTCATGCCCCAAAATTCTAGTAATATATTAGTCTTATAATTCTTAAATATGAATAAAATAATAATAATCCTAGTAATGAAGTAGCAACAGATCCCAACAATCGCTTCTAAGAAAATCAAACACCTAAATATTACGTAGTATTTAATTTTGAACTTTTGTCCTAAACTAATATTCATTGGTTTCAGTCCCAAAACAAACCAGACTTTAACAGACTAGACTGGACCAGACTTCAACAATTGTAAAGTACACATAGAACAGACATCTACCTGATCAGACCAATACAGACTAAACCAGAATTAAACAGGCCAGATTAGAAAATTACACTCAAATTAAAAACATCTTAATTTCTCTTAAGCTAGGTTATCACTTAAAATTTACCATAACATAGGTAAACCTCAATCCAAATGGGGATGAGTGTGTTCACACAATTTAATTTTGGATAATCAAAGTAAACAATTTTTGAATAAAAAGTATAGGATTCAATTGTGGGGCTTGATAAACATGACCGTGGGTGAAGTAAAGAAATTCCCTTATCACTCTTGGCCTCTTGCAGCTTGCCCCCAAACTCAAAATCTTGGTCATGCTATGTTACATGCATGGTTGGAATCTCGTGCAAGGTCTAGGGAGAAAGAACGAAAAAGGGTATCTCAGATCTATGTTCAATGAGGAATTAACAGTGTCTGTCCTAGTCAAGACAACCAAGAATTAATTCTTCAAAAGTGGTTAATTAATCAATATTGAGGACCCTTATATAGCTATGTAGCTATAGCAAGAGTCCTCATCATAATAGGAAATAAAAAAGGGTAATAAGAAACTGATTAAAATTGAATAAAGAAATTCCAATAGTGATATGAATAGGAAATTACTACTAACTAATACGGAGTAATAATGATATCAGTAAAATTACTACTACTACAACTAATACGAAGAACAGCAACAACAATAATAACTATAAGTGTGTTTAATAATAATAATCATAATAATGAATGTGGTTCAGTGAGGAAGTGTGGTAAAGACACTAGGTCTAGGGAGAAAGAACGAAGGAGACCAGATCAGACACTTATTATTATTATTATTATTATTATTAACATCATCATTATTATCATTATGCAAACGAAAGGCATGGGTGGCTCAGTTGGAGGTCTAAGCAGCAGCAGCAGGGTGATCTCTGGTGGTGGCTATTTCTGCGCAGCCATTGCAATGGCAGATTTGTCTGAAGAGTTGGCATCATTTTTTGTAGTGGTGATGATGGAGTTAGCGGCAGCGGCAGCGGCAGTGTTGGATATGCGGGTAGCAGCAGCGATCTTGATGGTGGAGGCAGTAGCATCTAGACTTATGACCACAACAGAGCAGATCGACGTGGAGGTGATACCCTAGTTTTATGTGCCTATTACCAAAGGGGTCTAACTACAAGAGAAGAGAAGAAATAGCATTTTGTGTGGATTAGAATCCAAAGGAGAAAATATTAGTAAATTCACACATTTCTGTGACGAAAGGACTTTGAACCCAAATGCTATCTTTTTTAGGGGAGGGGGGTTTATCCTTACCAACAGCACTAGGTCCACCACTTGTATCTTTAATCTCTAGAGAAGCAGATGACATACCTGAAAAGTTATCAATACTTGATATATTCAGATATGATTCTAAAGAAACAATTTGCATATAGTAGAATAGTGAATATAAGACTGTATGGTATCAGTGAAATTGAAAGTGGGCCATGGTGTAATATGAACTAATAAAAGTATAAAACCCAATTAAAATAATTACTGAAAGTAGTTGGAATGGCACAGCATGAGAACAAAAGCTCAATAACGCTCATCTATATTTATATATGTATGAGAAAATAGATATCAGAAGCATAACACCATATAAGAAATATATTTAAAAAAGAGTACCAGTATAGCCTCCTACTCTACTAGATCAGCACGTGTATTTCATGCAATATAGAATCTAAGAGAAAATCTCCCAAGTAAATGCACCTCCATATTCAGAATCTGAATATAAATGCCACTTTTTCAGTTCAGCTTTTGAGTTGAAATTGAAAATATATCTTTCACTTGGAGGAGTTAAGTCTTCAAGGTTCCATGTAAGTGCTGCAAGTTGTAGATTTAAACATTAAAACTAAGCACATCAGCAGGAAAAGTAAAGAGATTAATGAATGTGTGTGGCAACTAATTAAGAGTGCTAATGTTTGGGTTTGACTGAGGTCAGTTGGTTACTTATGTGTGTGCTCAGTTTTTACCCAACCCAAGACAAAACTAACTTTTATGCAACATAATCCAAACCAATGATTATGTTTAGCCAAGCCTCATTATTGTAGGTTTTTTTGAATGGTTTGGACATTAGATCTATAATTCCATATATGTTTTTGAAGCTGATATCAGTCCATAATAAATTAACTCAGACCAGATAATTTACAGTATACTAGAAGCCTGATTTGAAAACAATGTCCTTTGACCTTAAAGACATCAAGTCTAGTGGTACTTGAGAAATGGAGATGAAGAGCAAAAACTGAAAGCGACCAAAATTATAGTCATCTACTTAATTCTTATCTAAGATTTAAGATAAGATATAACAGTAGTAAACAAATTACTACAGTAAAAATTAAATCACTCAAATATAAATTTCTGGAATCACAACTCAAAAACAGGACAAAATGCAAGTAGGCTAGACTCTTAAAGACTTGATATGTAATAGAATATGTTAGTGAGTCAGATTGGATTGGATTGGATTAGAATCATTAGATTGGATTTCATTGCATTGCATTGGACTGGACCAGTGACACCAAAACGAATGCCCAAGCACAGTGCACAAATACCCTCATTGACCATAAGAATGTGAATTCATAAAAATTTTGAACATAAGCCATTATATTTACATACCATCCTTTCTTAAGACAACTTCCCTCTTGAACTGCACTCTATTTGTTGTTACATATTACAACCATCTACATGTGCCTTAATGTAAAAAACCATTACTCGATGGGAAGATTGAAGGAGGCAGACTGAGAAACATAGTAATAATAATTGCAAATTGTATCTTCAAAAGAACAGGAACCAATCGTTGTCAGTTGCATTAGTGCATAGAGTGAAGAAGTAAATAGACCAAGTTCTGATATAACTTGCCTCTTTTAGTTGCAGCAAGGGATGCTTGCAATAGTGAACGAAACCTGGACATTTTATCCCCCTAGATTCCTGGCAAGTTCCAATACAGATTAAAATATCCATTGACACAATGTATTACTCGGTCTAGAAAATCATCATTCAAGTACACTAGTTATACACTTATACATAACAGAAGCAAACCCCAATCCAAAATCTATCAATAGTATGGCATGAAATTGAATTATTATCATGAAACTACATTTGGATATCAAAATTTACTTGCTGCCCCACCATTTATATTTCCAAGCATTTACAAAGTACCACTATGAAGTTATGAAGCATCTATGAATAACAAACAACAACATTAACTGATAGATTACTGATAGTAATCTATGTAGAACAGTAAGAAATCTACAGAAGTTCAGCTAGAACAGATCGTAACAGAGTTTATTGAGTAAGAGAGAATCAAAGTAGGTGTACAATGCAAAGGGACTGTTCGAGAAGCCCACTCTCGAAGCCAACAACCAACTGAAATAACAGCCTAACTTTACTACATCACAAGCTGCTATTTATAGTAATTGTCCACGCAAGGAACAATATAACTAACACACCAGTTATTTATTAGTAACTACCCTCCTATTCCTTCTTTGGTAGACTTTGTTATAAAACTCAACTGGTCGCTCTACTGGATGCTTAACAATACTCCCCCTGAATATTCACCTTGTCCTCAAGGTGAAGTTCTGGGAATTGTTCTTTGACCAACAGCAATGATTCCCAAGAATCCTCAAAACTTGGCAGGTTCTTCCAGTGTATGAGCACTTCCCAGTTCCCTTCCTTGTCCACCCTTGCATCCAACACCTCTTCTGCCACAACTTGCAAATCCATTTCTTCATTCAAACATTTGGGTAAAGGCTGAAAGTATGTAGTAGTTGAAATAGCCTTTTTAAGCAGAGAGACATGAAATTCCGGATGTATTTTGCTCTCTTCTGGCAGTTTAAGCCTGAATGCTACAGAACTGAGTTTATCCGCCATCTCAAAAGGGCCATAATACCTTGGGCATAATTTCTGGTTTATCTTCTTAGCTAAACTCCTTAGCTTATAAGGCTGTATCTTCAAATAAACTTTGTCTCCCACTTCCAGTTGAACATCCCTTCTATGTTTGTTGGCCTGTTGCTTCATTTGATTTTGTGCCTTTGCCAAATTCTCTTTTAGCTCATCTAACATCATATTCCTTTGGGCGGTGAGTTTAGACACTTCTTCCACAGCAGTGATAGTCACATCACCTCTAATCACTGCAGGAGGATCCTGTCCAAACAAAGCTTTATAGGGAGTCTTGTTTTAATGAGGCATGATAATTGGTATTATACCAAAATTCAGCCCAATGCAACCATTTAAACCACTGCTTAGGTCTTCTCCCTATCAAGCATCTCAAATATGTTTCCAAGCACCTGTTTACCACCTGAGTCTTCAATGATACTTCCATAGAATTCAATTTGGGATCTCACTGAATGAACTGACTGAGCCCTAATTTCTCCCATCTGATAGTCTAGTTTTGGAAATTCACTTCAACATCTCCCAGACTTGTTAACCATTCCATCCCTAAAACCATATCAGCCCCCCTAGATTGAGAATATAAAAATCCTGTGTGATATCAGTACCCTGCAAGCATAAAACCAAGTCTTCACATCTTAAATTATTAGCTATCTTTTCCCCATTACCAATTTGCACCTTATACCCTGAAATGGTGTTGAAAGGTAGCTGCAATCTGTCAACCAGCCTTTGTGAAATGAAATTATGAGTGGCCCCACTGTCAATAAGAACTTCCACTTGCTGCTATCCCTTATCCCATTTCAGACATCCTTTAACTTTGAAAGCTCTCATGGTAGGTAGTCCTTCTTTACTCATGAGAGATAATTGCATGGATTTAGACTCCATAGCAACTTCTTCCTCTTCAGAACTCTCAGAATCTTCCTTATCTTGCTCATTCTCCCCATATGAATCTTCCACCAACATCAACTTATAATTTTTCAGTTTACAAGTGTGCTCCTTATTCCATTTCTCTCCACATTTAAAGCATAGTCCCTTTCTACTCCTTTCCTGAAACTCTTCTTGCGATAGCTGAGGACCTACTTTTCTGATTCCGGAAGGGTTTATTTCAGTCACCCTCTTTCCCATTTTCTCAAACCAAGAATTGAAATTCCTGCTTTCAGCTGCACCCTTGATATGGTTAGTGAACCCTGAACTCACAGTTCTTTGGGGAGCTATGACCATCTCAAATTCATCTCTGTATTCCCTAACAGTGCTTGTTTGTTTCAGACTTAACATAGGTCCAAAGGGATTCTGCAGTAAATCTGGTTGGAACCTGCTACTAATAGCATCCTTAAGAGTCTCCCAGTTCCTGTCCTCCCTCATAACTTGGCTACTTTCTATCGCAACATGATTGCGTTCCATCGCTTCCGTTCGTTGTTCCATTTTGGCTCTCGTCCCGACCATTCACAACTGGAACGGAAAAAAAATATGGTGACGCTACACAGTTTCCGATCACCAGAACAAGTGCTCCGATACCAATGATAGATTACTGATAGTAATCTATGTAGAAGAGTAAGAAATCTACAGAAATTCAGCTAGGACAGATCGTAACAAAGTTTATTGAGTAAGAGAGAATCAAAGTAGGTATACAATGCAAAGGGACTGTTCGAGAAGCCCACTCTCTAAGCCAACAACCAACTGAAATAACAGCCTACCTTTACTACATCACAAGCTGCTATTTATAGTAATTGTCCACGCAGGGAACAATATAACTAACAGACCAGTTATTTATAACTACCCTCATATTCCTTCTTTAGTAGATTTTGTTATAAAACTCAACTGGCCGCTCTACCGGATGTTATAAAAAATTTCTGGTGACGCTACACAGTTTCCGATCACCAGAACAAGTGCTCTGATACCAATGATAGATTACTGATAGTAATCTATGTAGAACAGTAAGAAATCTACAGAATTTCAGCTAGAACAGATCGTAACAGAGTTTATTGAGTAAGAGAGAATCAAAGTAGGTGTACAATGCAAAGGGACTGTTCGAGAAGCCCACTCTCGAAGCCAACAACCAACTGAAATAACAGCCTACCTTTACTACATCACAAACTGCTATTTATAGTAATTGTCCACGCAGGGAACAATATAACTAACAGACCAGTTATTTATTACTCCCTCCGTCCCCTTTTCAATGTCCCGTTTTACCATATTGGGATGTCCCTATTTAATTGTCTCATACCTTATTTGGTAAAGTTTGTGTGGCTCAAAATCATTCTTACTTTATTCTTACTTTATCAATTAATATCAACCACACAAACCCACTTTTCTTAAAACTCGTGCCACCCTCTTCCGGGACATTTAAAAGGGGACGGAGGGAGTAGTAACTACCCTCCTATTTCTTCTTTGGTAGACTTTGTTATAAAACTCAACTAGCCGCTCTACTGGATGCTTAACATTAACCCAGTGCCACAAAGGCTCCCAACTACAGTGGAGTAAGGGGGGTCAGATGTAAGTAACCTTACCCATGTACTAAAGCACATAGAGACTGTTCCCGGATGACCCATGATGAAAATCGCATAAAAAATTACATGGACTATCTATTGGTTCATAACAAAGAAGCGCAAACAGTTTAATGAGCCATTTTGCTTTATTCCATCATATTCCCAAGCCAAAAAATAGCGAGTCTTTGGCTTCATTTGGAAATAATGGAAATTATGAGCATCTATGAATATTTATTTAAAAAAATAAGCCATTATACTCATTTTCATTGAAAATACACAAAAGGTGCCATGGAGATTGGATTGTGGTCCACGACTATGATGGCACAAAGTTCCACAACTTTATTAGAATTTTTTAAAATTTCATACTGGAAGAGAAAAGAGTCGTATGAATGTAATAACGAGAAAGATGCTCACCACTCAAAACCAAATTCCATGAAAGATGAATTTTTCCAGTTGATAGGTTTCACATGGCATAACTGGAAATGGTACCGGAGAGCATTTGTTTTAGAGTAATGCTAGGGAGACATAAAAAATTGACACTCTATGGAGACATTCCTTTGTGGCACGACACCTTGGGTAATGATCACACGTCTAACAGTTTATCACCCAATGAAGGTGGGTCACGTAAGTCCAATTTTCAATTACTCTAGCATACTAGCATTACTCTTCGTTTTGACCTAACAGGTTCTCACATTAACAACAACATTACCACAGTGCCATAAAGGCTCCCACCTACGGTGGGGTAAGGGGTCCCGGATGTACACAGTCTTTACCTTGTACTAAAGCATAGAGAGACGGTTTGCGGATCACCAATAATGAAAAACGTGTCGAAAATTTCATGGACTGATTGCTACTTCATAATAAAGAAGCGCAAACCGTTTAGTGAGCCATTTTGGTTTATTCCTACGCTAAAAAATAGTTCTCACGTTTTTGCTTTAACTTTTGCTTTAAGCATTGCTAAAAAATAGTTCTCACGTCTTTGATTCCATTGGAAGTGATGGAAAACAAGTTCTCACGTTTGCTTTAACTTTTGCTTTAACTTTTTTACTACAACAACAACACAACAACAGCAATAACAACATCCAAGCTTTAGTCCAAAAAAATTTTGGGATCGGTTAACTTTTTTACTCCGGTCCAATATTTCTATTTTGCTTTAGAGAGTTTCACAAAGATTAAGATACCTCATAAAAAAGACTGACGCACCCTTATTTACAATGTATTCACTACATGTTTTATTGCTAATAATTCGTAGACACCATCAAGTTTTCACCCAAATTATGTGCCTTTTGTCTTTATAACTGATTATGATGAATTCCTTAATGATGCTTTTAAGCGTGCTAAGTGAGACAATTTGCAACCTAGATTTCTCAAGAAGTAACTAACAAAAGCTATTATTCTCAATGCTCATTTTGTATATTACTAACCTTTTGATTTAGAAAATGAGAAGTTATGTCTTCAATTCCTGAAATAAGATTTATTTTTTGAGGAAAAATACTACCTACTGCTTACTGTATTCAGTTTCGGAAGATGAAGTATCACGAAATTTTATTTGGATTTGAAATAGCCATAAATATGATAAAATTGATTCAAACATTTTGACAAACATGTGGCAAGCAATTTAGATTTTACCTGCTCTATGTTCCAAACTTCAAACTGCTTATTTACATAAAATTCTCGGAAGAAACCCATTTCACAAATCCCATATTGCATTCTTATTTCAAATAAATTACAACTGGACATACATATATAAACTTCCACCACAAATGGGAAACACTACCTTCTACTATCATCTTTCAATATGCTGTCTTCATACTTGCCATAAAGAAAAGAGGTGTGGGGTCAACTGCTAACAACATACAAAAATCATGGTATTCTTTGCTTGGATCGTCGGGGTTTTACTGGTTTATGACCAGCATAATAACTGAGGCCGTGGAAGGCCTAAATTTTATGGTCAGAAAAAATCATATAGATACATTTACTACTAAACATCAATCAAACAGATCCACTCACCTGAAATGCTTTCACATGTCAAAGACATTATTTCATTTTTCTTTTTCTTCTCTTGCTTCACGCTTCAAGCATCCGATTGTTTGTTTTTAATTTGTTTTTCTTTTTTTTTCTTGTTGCACGTAAAGAATTAGAATCGTTTTTTCCCTTCTTTCAGCCGTCTCAAACTCTCAATTGTTAACATTTTTATTTATTTATTTTTCTTTTTCTTTCCCCCTTATTTCCTTTTCTTTTTGTTATATCTTCCCCTAACAAATTATTGTTTTGACATTCTAATTATTTCAATAAACTATAATCTCTGACTTATCAATTGTTCATTCTTTTATTTTAACTATTGCTCATGTTGAAATGTAATCCTCCCTTTTAATTAATACCGTTAATTTTTATGAATTTGACACGATTAATGCAGTAACTTTATACGCAATAAAAAATCACTTTCCTACACACTTTCAAAATCTACGGCACTTAATTTTTGTTGGAATTAATTCTACTTTTAGTCGTAATGTTTCTTGACCATTTTAGTCCGTTTCTGGTGATTTTAAAAGCTGATTTGTTCTTTTGACATTTTTTTCTATAGCTTAACTTTACTACAAAATTTATCTGTTCGGAAAATATTAAAAGTGTTTACATAATTACACAACTGTTTTGCCTCGTTTGAAACTATTTATATGCCAAATATTGTTTGTCTATAAAAATTATTGAACATTTCTGATCAATTTTTTGGTCCGTATAAGACTTGGTCAGTCTATTTAAACCGTGTCTACTCTAATCTAGTAAACATTTGGTGTATGTATATTTTGCCATTATATAAATATAAGATCTGATCTGCTTAAGTGTGATCTTATCTGCTAAGATATGTTTAAGTCGGTTGTGGTCTCATATGGGACACGGGATTGAAAAGGGTTGAATTTAAAAGGGGAGATAATTTAAATATCTCAAATTTTAAAGGACTGTGAGATAAGTACCACAAACTTGCACATGCAATATATATACTCCAAATTTATTAAAAAGTTATATTAGCACCATAATGAAAAGGGGAAGTAAAAGAAAAGAAAAAATGAAAAAGGAAATGAGGAACGAAAAAGAGATACATTTAAGAATACAATTTAGGAGAAAACAATAACTAAGAGAGAGAATGAAAATAACAAAAAAAAAATGAGATTGGGCGGTAGATGGGCAGCGGGAGGAGTTAGATTGCAGGAAAAAACTGAATGGACTGAGTGAATACATATAAGCCGATAGGAAATTTAATTTATTAACGAGAAGAATTGTGATTACCTTAAGACCTCCATATATATATATATATATATATATATATGTATGTATGTATGTATGTATATATATATATATGTATGTATATGTACGTATACTTTGTACATTTTTTTATTATCTTGGATTGCTGGTTGTAGCACCCATTAGGACAACCAACTCAAAGATGGTTTTTTCAACCGAACCATTATCGGCGTACACAAAAAGCGTACACTTATGATACATTCGTTTGTGCATATGGACAATAGTTATTTTTGTAAAACGAGTCGATAGTTTACATAGACAAATAAGAGGAATGAACAAGAAAAGTGTCTACTTTTTTGGGTAAGATTTTTTTTATCAATCCTTAGGTCACAACCAATCTTAGGTTACATCTATAGTGAACACGGAATACCTTATTAAAAAATATCTATACTGAACACTTCAAATTTGGGATTTTGGCCAAATGGGAGTTACCCTTGAAATCTTGAATGGGTAGTAGGGAACACAAGGATTATTGCCCTGGAATGGGGAGTTGTGCGGTTCGAGGATGATGATTAGTGGCAGTGCATCACTGCGTCCCAATACCTATCGAAATCGTGCCAATATGCCATCATGCAAACAAAAAAAATAGAGTTAATAAGGGTTCGTTTGTTCAAATGGGCGGCAAAAATAAATATTCCCTCCGTTCCAATTTGTTTTGTAAAATTTGCTATTTTGGTTGTCCCAAAATATTTTTCCACTTTCTATTTTAGGTATGTAAAAAGGATAAAGTGATAAATTTACCCCTACTTTTACCTTTTTCCATCTACTTTTAGGATGATGGACAAAAGTGTAGAAGGCAAACATCATTTACTGTCATTCATTAATTCTTGTGCCGGTCAAAATTCACAATTCAATTCGGGACGGAGGGAGTACAACTTATTAAAATTTAGGCTTTCTCTATCCTTGTAGAGTCTAAAAACTCATAAATGCACCCTCTCAATATGAAAATAGTGTCATGGTTCACCTTAGTGGTATTGTAGAGAGAAGGGAGACGTACGAACTAGAGAGAGAAATATCTGATAATAAATGGTAATTACATTAAATGCATGTACACGTAACACATGTAAATTAGTCTATGAGAGAGAGCCCAACTATGAAGCAAAGAGCGACGTGCGGCGCATTTTGACAATCTGCTGAGTAGTTCTGTCCTGTTGGATGAGGTGTCATAGGACGAGGTGCTAGGAAACATCTTCGTCGTTGTTCCCTTTCCTTGAGTGAAGGATTGAAGGCCTCTTGCTAGACGAGGTGTCACGGGCAGAGAGGACTTATATGGACAATGGTGTTGGGCTGTTGGCCTAGTGTGTGTTCTTTAAGCGCGGTAGCCGGTAGGTAAACCACCCTGTGATGGGGTAAATGTAGGGGAACATTTACCGAGTTTTATTAAATTAAGATAAAAGTTTTATTAAATTAAGATAAAGGAAGTACTAATCAAGAGGGGAACTAGACCAAGACCTCTTGGGAGAAAGCATACATTCTCAAAATACAATTAGCTATTGTCCTAAATAGGACTAATGTGTCCCTAAAAAGCACAAATAGGACTACTACTTTTTAAATTCCACAAATAGGACTAAGCATTGATTTTCTATCCTAAATACCCCTAAGGGTATTAATTCATTATGAAATGTTTTGATTCATAATAAAAATCATTAAAAAAATAATAAAAATCGTAAAGAATAATAAAAAATCGTAAGAAAATAATAAAATTAATGAAATACTTATAAAATAAAGATAAAAAAAAATCATAAAATTTGTAAAAACCTATAAAAAAATATTGATACTTTTCCCACCGCCTCCCAGCACCACCACCTCCGATCGGTGAAAGTTTTGCCACTTTTAGCGGTGAAAGTTTTGACCGCCATTTTTGAAAATGCCAAGAAGATGGCATTTTTACCCTTCATTATGCCAAAATTTCCATTGAATTTGCCATCATTATGGCATTACTAAAAATGTTGGCAGATTTCCTCTGATGATGGGAGCTAGTGGTGCTGGGGGTGGAAGAGGCGGCGATGTTTTTTTACATTTGTTTTAATTTTAAAAAAGTAAGATTTTTATTTTATAAATATTTTATTATTATTTTATTATTTTTTACGATTTTTATTATTTGTTACGCTTTTTTTTATGATCTTATTATTTATTAGAACATTTCAAAAGTTACAAGGGTATACTTGTCCGAAAACACATAAATAGTCCTATTGGGGGGATTTAAAAAAATGTAGTCCTAAATGACAAATAGTCCTGGGTATCTGCTTTTCCTCATAAAGAAAATCTTCCACCATACCATACTTGTAGGATGATAATTTGGAAACCCAATTTTGGGAGTATAGTTTAATCTGAGTAATTAAGATATTGGAAACCCAATCAATGGTTGAAAGAAATGGGCTTCAACACCTTAAGATACTGTGAAGAAAAAAGAAAAACTATAAAAACTAGTTTTTTTTTAAATAATAAAAACTAGTTATGAACTAATGGATTAATATGGGATGAATGATGATTGTGGGATGCATTCGAGGGTTTATAAGGGCTAGAAAATGAACTTGGGTGGTCTATTCATGATCCTCAATCATCTTGGCGCAAAAATTTGGAGTCATACCTTCCAAATGTATTTCAACTCAAGGCATTTGTGCACGTTATCTGGTCTTTCTGCAAATTTGGGGTATCCGATGCTGGCTAGGGGTGTCTGACGCCGGTTTTGGATCAATTTACAAGAAAAATAAATTCAACAAGCGCTGGTTGTGGACCGGGCCGGTTTGAATACGCCATTTGTGATGCCGGAAATAATACACATGACCGGCATCGGTTAATAGCAATTCTGGCGCTGGTTGCTTCTGGGGATATCGAGGACGTTCAATTACAATTTTTGACATGATTCGTTCACCAAAGTTGTAGCTAATGAAGTCTCATATCTCTCAATACTTAAATATTTTGATTTGAATCATCCTATCAAAAGTAAATATATTAATAAAATCGTGAGAGGTATACATCGCAAAAATCTACCAGCAACATCTAACTTTCATGATCTTGATCATTTCATATTCTGACCATGACGTCTTCACAACATTCACATGAAATTTGAATGGAGTGAGTTAGATTTATTTACAATTATGGGCAGAACATCATCCAATTGGTCCAAAAAGCAGCCCATCGCAATGTTTTATGCTACAACTCTCATTCTGAAGGTATTTGCCCGATTTCTCTTCTTTTCTTCAACAAATACTTATACATACTTATGTTAGACACTAGTAAATATAACGGCTATCAAACCCCCCACACTTGAGTGTTGCTTTTCCTTGAGCAATTTCTTTGTAATGATGCACAATTAGAGAAGAAACTAAACCATGCAAATTGAGTTTTCAATAAGATGATAAACATTAAAAATAAGCTATTTAATCTTTCTCGGTCCAGAAACTTTTTCTATTACTCACGATAAATGTATTTAAGATTAAGAAAAATATCTCCGAAGGATTTTGCACTGCGGCTGTCACTCGTTGCGGCAGATATCTAATGCGGTAATATTTATATCTAGGTATCTGCACGTACAGACTTGTCTAATCATGGCCCCAAACATTTTTGGGGCCCTGGTTCTATTCTAAACTACTATTTAATGTACAAAAGTTATCATAAAATGTAATACATATTATTACAAAGAGATTTATAATAAAATTGATCACAATTATATAATATTCTCTAACAATCCCTACCCACCCCTGGTTCTTATCACTGATCTCTAGCTATACCCGCTCCTGATTCTTATCAAAGAGATTTATAATAGAATTGATCACAATTATATAATATTCTCTAACAAGCCCTACCCACCCCTGGTTCTTATCCCTGATCTCTAGCTATACCCACTCCTGATTCTTATCTTCAACACACTCTCTCTCTTCTATCAGCGTCTATCTCCCTCCTCTTGTCTGCAACCCTTCGTTCCCCCACCGTCCTCCGT